GCAATCCACATGAGGCAGAGGCATGTACGATTTAGTGACAAGCCGTGTACTAGTGCATAGAGAGCTATACATTTTTCCATATGGGAATTCTGGTTTCAAGCTACATTTCCCTTTCTGATGATTCGTATTCCAGATCCAGAAAACAAAGCATGTTGAAAACAAAGGTGTTGCCCTAACTAGAGAAAAAAATCACCTAAATAGTTAAGAATTCAAATATGCCTAATGGAGAAGAAGGGTGGGGAGAGGAATGACTAACACAAAAAGTATGGAAGCCTATTTTACAAACGTATAGATAGATAGATAGATAGATAGATAGATAGATAGATAGATAGATAGATAGATAGATAGATAGATAGATAGATAGATAGATAGATAGATAGATAGATAGATAGGAAAGAATTTAAATACTTACCTTACATGGGGTTTAAGACTTTTCCCAGAAACCATAGATTGTCAAATAAAAAGCCCAGAGCCCAGTTGTTGATGGGGGTGGCCAGGGTGTGTCCACCCTAAATAGTACAGGCTATTGCCAATTGCTTCTGGTTGCCCGCCATAACTTGATGGTATGACCTTATTGCTGAAGGCACTGTACAGTTTGGTCACAGGACTCGGGGAAATCTAGTTTGTACCGACTTGGAAGCTTCTTCCCTGTGGATAGCTTTCACAGTGCCAGAAGGTGCTGTGCAGACTGCTACTGGAGAAAAGTCAAATCTTTCCCAGCTGTGGACCCTCTGAGCTACACCGATGACTGGCCTGGCAAGATATGCTCATGGATGAAATAGCAGCATGGATGTCATAGAGGTGACCAATCTGGCAGGATTTAAGGCCTGCTCCATAGGAGGAAACTCATGCCTGATACTATAAATTTTGTCAAGAACCTATGGTTGCCATACATGGTGGTGTACACCTTTAATCCCAGAACTTGGAAGGCAGACGCAGGTGGATCTTTCTGAATTTGAGGGCAACCTGGTTTACATAGCGAGTTCCAGACAGTCAGCTACACTGTGAGACCCTGTCTCAAAAAGCAAAAGACAAAAATATAGCTGGGGAGCTCACAGCCCAAGGGGTGAACCTACTATTATTTTGCTAAATGGACAGAGTATCAAACTGCCTTCTAAATATGTATCTCTATACTCTTAAGTGTAGTACTCGGTGTTCATCAGAGAAGCATCCTTGTACAGTAATTAGTAGAAACTCATAACTAGCCAAAGTCCAGAGAACAAGTGTTTATGGAATTCTCAGCCATTAATGGGACACCTATATTAGATATCTATATTAGTATAGGTGAGCCTTCCCTGCAAGGCTCAGGGAACAGGGCAGAAAGATTTTAAGAACCAGAGGTTGGGGAGGATGGGGGTGGAAGTGTCTTCTGAGCATGACAGGGCTATTGCACTTGAACTCAACTGTGGTTGCCTGGACAAGATCAAGCTGGTCAACATTCCAGCACAGACCGGGGAGCAGCACTGATCTCTTAGCCCTAGCTGAGGAGCTATGGACGGCTGATGGCTAGGGGATGTTAGGGAAGTCAATTTTCTTTAGGAGTGTGGTCCCTGGTAGGTTGACCATACTCCAATGGATAGCCCTACATGCTATGTGGGTAACATCCTGGGTTCAGGGGGTTGTTTAAAAGAAAGGAATGAAGTTGGGATGTGGCAGGGGGACATGAGGATGAAATCCTGGAGGAATTGCAGGCAATGGTGGGGTATATGTGTGTGAATATGATTGAAATTATGTGCATGTATGAAATTCTCAAATAATAAATTAAGAATATATTTTAAGGGGCTGGAGAGATGGCTCAGTGGTTAAGAACACTGGTTTTTCTTGCAGAAGACCCAGGTTTGAATCCCAGTACCTACATGGCAGCTAACAGCTGTCTGTAACTGCAGTCCCAGAGAATTCAAAAGCCTCTTCTGACTTCTGAGGGCATGGCATGACACGGGTGCACTTACCTACATGCAGGCAATACACGCATACACATAAAATAAAAATAATAAAATATTTTAAAAAAAGAATGTATTTTAAAAAGACAATTCAGGCTGGGTGTGATGGTGCATACCTTTAATCCCAGCAGAGGCAGGTGGATCTCTGTGAGTTCAAGGCCAGCAAGGTCTACACAGGGAATTCCAGGCCAGCTGGGGCTACAGGGAGACTCTGTCTCAAAAAGACAAATAACTAACTAACTAAATAAATAAATAAATAGACAGTTCAGGGCTGGAGAGATGGCTCGATGGTTCAGAGTACTGGCTGCTCTTGCAGAGGACATGGGTTCGATTCCCAGCACCACATGGGGGCTAACAACTGTCCATAACTCCAGTTCCAGGGGACCTGGCATCCACTTCTGACTTCCATGGGCACTGCACAACATGGGTACACTTACATACATGCAGTCAAAACACTCATACACACTAAATAAAAATAGTACTTTTTTAAAAGAACAATTCAACTATACTTTTCCAACTAGAAGAAATCCCAGCCTCTCTGCAAACACTAACATTAGAATTATGTCCTATAACGAAGGGGTAAAAACAACCACTGGAACACTAGCCCAGAGCCCTGAGGACATCAGGGGAACAATTCCAGGAAGCCCTATTTGCAGATTCATTTGGGCTGCTATGGTTTGGATGTAGTTTGTCTCCTAAAGGTCCTGTGCAGGAAGCCTGGTCCTGCCCTTAATCAAGAGGTATGGCTTAAATGGTGCACAGGGGCCCCATCATCACAAGTGAATCAGTGGGTCTCTAAGAATCAATTCTCACAAGAATGAGTTACTAAAAGCAAGCACCTCTCCCTCCCCATCCCCACTCCCACCCCTGCCGAATACTTGGCCTCTTCTGCACATAGCCCTTTCCCTTTCCACTTCTCCAAATTGTGAGAGAACCAAGAGGGCCTTCACCAGGGTGCCGGCACCATGGAGTCTGGACCATCCAGGCACCAGACTCACAAACCAAACAATTCTTTGTATATAAACTATCCAGCCTCCAGTATTTTGTTATAGCAACACAAAACAGATTAATATTACCTGCCCAAACTTTAGGCAGACTATTAAAAAGTTGGGGTAGGTAGTCAAACTGCAATGCTAGTACTCAAATTTGGCTTTTCAAATAGTCCCAAGTTCTCCGGGATTCTAGGGTGATAGTCTCTTTTGATTTGCTCCTCTCCCCCTGCTAAGGAGACCTAAAGGTATCATTGGTCACATGTAGCACAAGAACCTCCTTCCTACTCGCCTAACATCAGGACATACGTCCCAGCAGTGAGGTTGGACCCTGGAGCAGACAGAGAGAAATCCTACAGTGACAGGATTCTACTCAAGCTCTAAGGTTTCTGTGTATCGTATAGATCACTTCTCCAAAGCTGCTGCACTCATGTTTGACAGAAGGCTCATGCAATCTTGTGTCTGCCGGACTCCCATATGCCTGGCTGAGAACAGCACTAAGTGGGGCTTGTTGGAGAACCTGCTTGGGTAAAAGCTGTGGGGCCCTTTTCTGAGCTGCTGTACTTACCGCAGTGAGGCAGGTGGAGACCAACATTTAGTCTGGAATTTAAGCTTTTAATTTTATACATTTGATTATAGTTTGCTGTTTTATAGCCTACTTTAAAATTAAAAGGTCACCCATTCACTCTAATGTGATCATTTCGAATTCGGGGAGTTCCTTATTCACAAGTTGCACTTCAAAGAAAAAGCGGGCTGTAGGACCATAGCCAGGAGAAACTGCAGGACTGCTCCATTTCGCCATTTTGCTACCCTGCTGTTTTCCCTGTCAAGAGTTCCGCTCAGAAAAACATGACTGTCCCCCATCTTACACAGGTGTGGTATTTAGACGGAGGCTGTTAGTCCTCCCTCTTCAATCCTGCTCAGTGTGGTTTACATCATTTTTCTTGGGGGAGTGGAGGGGTAGGATCACTGGCAAGGAATAATTTTAAAAGTGCTCTGGTACCCATGCATCCATGAAGGGCTAAACAAAACACAAGAAGATACTGGATGGGTTCAACTGCAGCCTACACCAATTTTGCTAATGTCAAAATGGATATTTTGGTGAATTTTCTAGTGTCTGTTCCAACAAAGGCACCATGTCAAACCTACATTATCCAGGGACCTTCAGCAAAAGGTAAGGAAGAAGGCCCGAAACCATCCAAACATGACAACAGGTTTGTGAAGTTAATTAAATGATAATGCAAGCTTCCCCTGTATATAGGGCAATCAGGAAACCAGAGAAAGATGGCAGGGGACTCCACCACACAGAGCTGATCAAAGGCACCACTCATAAAAATAGGAAGAGTTCGGAACTTCCTTATCAAATGCTCAGGATCGCGCCACCAGCAAGAAAGGAGATGGCTTTGACGCCAACAGTCTGACCTGTCAGCAATGAATGGTGTCCTCAAAAGAAAAGGTCTTTGCTTGTCCCTGCAACCACGAGTTGGAAAAAAATAATACAGGCAGAGAGGCAGGGGACAATCAACACAGAACAGCTAGGTGGGGTAAGAGTTAGGCATTCAACTCAGAGGAATCAGGAGAGGCCTGGACATGTTAAATTTTGTGTAAGCTCAGAGTTTTGAACTACTTAGTATCTGGATTCCAGGACCTCTCATGTTGAAGCGATTCTTGAGCACCTCCCTCTACATGTTCAATATTCTGTACATGCAGAGGCCGAGGGAACATGGGCAACGCTGGGGGCAGTGTCCCATTTGAGGTGCCTGTAGTGAAGTGTTAAAGGAATGCCTACAGGAACTTGGCAGGAGGTCCACAGGACTGGGCAGCCTGGTAACTCGTGCACTCACCCAGGAGTGTATCTGAGAAAAGGAAGGCCCGCCACAGGTCCTGAAGGAGCCTGAAAGGAGCTGGTTCAGCTCTTACCACAGGTGCACAGGATGCTGGGTTCACAGAAGGACCCTATGACAAATGAGTCTTTTTCAGCAAGATTACCCTCAAAACCAGCTTGGGGATGGGGGCTGCCCTTTTTGTAACAAGCAAATTCTAAGAGTTCATATATTGACATCCTTGCTGATTAAAAAAATGATAACTTTATTATAATTTTTTAATTGCAGAACTCCAGTCTAAATATCAGACACACACATATAATCACTGATCTCTGGTACTGGCTTCCATATCCCCTCAGGGAATTTTCCAGTTCAGCCCACACACCAACTTGGAATAGGAGGGAAAGCTCGTTTTCTGGCTCTGCCCACACTCCCAACGTGGTGACAAGCAGCATGTTTGCCGAAGGGACCACGTTTGTGACGTCAAAACACCAGTGCTGCAGGTACAGTTCTGGCGTGCTCAGCGTGAACCTGCAGGCTGGTTATCTTGCAGGCTCTGTTCTTTTCTGCTGTGTTCTTTCTGGGGTTCCCTTAAATGCTACAATAAGAATGTATCTTTGGGTCAGAATCACATCCAAGAGCAGGTGGCTCAGGCCGAGTCCCAATGCTACATATGAAGTTGTTCCGTCTACCACTTGGGGGTTACAATTCAAAATAAATATTATTTCAAGGTACGAAAACAAATACTTGGCAGTCTAGAAAAAGGCTTGATTCTTCCTAAAAACCAAAATTCACTGTGGACTTTTGCTTCATGATGTATCCAAGACAAAAAAATCAGGTAACCCACCAGGCCCACTATTCACAGAGCACCCCTTCCTGCTCCCTCCACATGGAGAAATGACTTAGCTTAAAGTTGTCACATCTATGACTTGGCTTAGGTAACAACTTCCCTGTGGCCCAAACTTGATTAAGATCAACTATTTAGCTGTGATGCTAAGAGATGAAGGCCTCACTGCAAGAAGCAAGAATGTAAGAGCTGGAACAGAGCGGTTCGCCACACTGACACTGATGACAAGGGGCATCAATACTGACATCAACAAACTTAAATACCACCGTGGTCTTCAAAACGCACACGTCCCTTCTTTTCATCAGGACATCAGTGACTGGAGAATGTTGTTGGCCTGCATTACCCACATACAGTAGTCTTAAGAGAAATGGAAATATTTTAGAAATACAAAAAGCATTTCATGACACATTCCCAGGGACAGACCACAGCCACAGAAATACTTTCCATAGTTGGTTCGTTTTAAAGTCCATCTCAAGAACAAAGGCAGCCAGCTCTCACAAGGTACTAACATATGTTCTGCCAAAAATATTTTGTTTTCCTAAAGTTATATGTTGTCTTCAAGTTCAACTATATTACACATGGTATCTGCTCCTTTTCTGTCAGCAAAAAGAATGATTTTTAAAATTCCAAAATGAATAATGTCTGTGCAGAGTGGTGGAATTTTGGTTGGTTGTTTTCCATAATTCAGAACACAGATGAATTACAAGGTCTGCAGCACTTTGAACGTTCATTCACATCTCCCAAGGTCCTTTGCTTGGCTCACATGAACTCATCAGAATCATTGCCATCCTGTGGGAAACAAAGAAGTGAAACTATAAAGGCCTTGAGAATAAGTCAGAATTTTAAGTTTGTAACTGCAGTGCCAACAGGCCATCCTTCTCATTCCTATGTGGCTGATAAGCAAGTGCTGAAGACCACACAGAAGAGGAACTCTTTTCCTTCTGTCAACACTGATGGTGTTCTCTCTGGACCAATGGCTTGCTGGTCACCACTGCCATGCACTGGCTTCATCTTCTATCTCCTATTGCTTATCATCAGCACTGCCAAGAGACTGGGACAGGACTTACTTCTTATTCTTCTCCTTAGTGGACTTTGTTAGAAATGGTAGAAAAACAGGAGGTGTGGGTAGAAAACAGTGGTTCTTCCATCAGTGGCTCTCTGTGCTATTAGCACAAGGACTAGAACCAAAGGACATGTGGCTTAACTACTTGTGTTCTATCCTGTACTAAGACTGACCACCTCAGACTCCTAAACCATAGCATCAGAGATGCCTGAATCAGTCAGCACATATTTTCAAATGACAGCTTTCCATCCCAGCCACTGAGAATGAGCAACTCATTAAGACCATCTGGGCTGGTAACAAAGCGCATACTCCTTACAGGGGAACAAAGTGCATACTCCTTACAGGGAGTATGTGCAGAATTCCTGCCAGCCCGAGGGCCCTGTGTTCTGGGACCACAGAAACTTTTAAAGACATATCTGAGATCTAAGGCTTCATTTGGACAACTTTTCCACTTTAGATCCCTTTGAGTCCGTATACTTTTCAGCTTAACGAACAGATTTCTTTCATTTTTTAAGATTTATTGTTTTTATTGTTAATTATGTGTATGTGTGTGTAACTGTGTGAGTACAGGTACCCGCCAAGTCCAGAAAGGATGTCAGATACCCTGGAGCTGGAGTTACAGGTGGCTGGAGCTGCCCAATGTGGGTGCTGGGAACTGAACTCAGGGCTGCGAGAGCAGCACGTGCTCTTACCTGCTGAGCTCTCTCCAGCCCCATCAATAGATTTCTTGTCACCCAGTGACAAACTGGCAAACAAAAAGAATGTTGATAGTAACTGTTTATGGTTCCAAGTTCAAATTCAAAAGGACTAAAAATTACAGATAAAAAAGATTATAATAAAGACCAAGAATTCATAATAGAATCTACTTCAGCTGGGACTAACATTCCTCCTGATGAGCTTGTATAGTTCCATCTCACATAAACTTCAGTCTTTGAATGAAGTCCAAACAACCATGCTGCCATGGGTTGTAACATAAAAGACAAGACCGTAACACAAAAGAACATGTTACAGGGAGATTAAAGCCTATTCGGATGAAGCACCCGAGACGCTCACATACAGCAGCAGCGACAGAATGGCCGGCGAACCCTTGCTCTACAAATTGGACCCTGTAGTCTTAGAACTCCTAATAGTGGTCACTAATGAGCCCTGCTTCTGTGTATGTGTCTACTCCGTCCTGTGTGTCTGTGGTCTCCATGTCTGCAGGCTCAAACAAATGCAGACAGAACACTTTAAAAATCATCTGTACAGAACAGGCACAGACTTTCTCCTTGTCATTATCTCTTAAGCAATACAGCACAACAACTGTTTACATCACATCTAAACTGGACTAGGTGTAAGTAATCTATGGAATAAAATACATAAGGAGATATATACATAATGAAAATACTTTTTCCATTTTATGTCTTGAGGATCTACAGATTTTAGTATTCACAGGGTTTTGGAACCAATGTTCCAAAGATACCTGGAGTGCTTGTGTGTGTGTGTGTGTGTGTGTGTGTGTGTGTGTGTGTGTGTGTTCAACTCTAGAAGGCCATGCAAACTTTTAAAATTTCATGTGATGGGGATGAGTATATCCAGGTGTGTGTGTGTGTGTGTGTGTGTGTGTGTGTGTTACACTGTTCCAAGTTCCAAGAAAACTAAGAGTAACTTGCTGAGGGATTAATTTCATCTTATCTTTTGATGCTGACAGTCAGAAAACAGCAACTCAGGGTTCCAAGCAAGGACTAAGATGGCTCCCTATACTCTGACTGAGTCAAGCCAGGCTTTCACAGATATATCCTTATTTACACTTTACAACAGCCTCATGAGGTAATGTTTCCATTTTACAGAAAAAATTCTTCTAGAAAGGCTAAAATGACCTGTATTAGGCTCACTCAACTAGTAAGTTAAAAACTCTGACCTCCATGGCTATACCATATCTCTCTCTCTCTCTCTCTCTCTCTCTCTCTCTCAATAGGGTCTCCCTGTAGGCCCAGCTGGCCTGGATCTTGCTATGTAGAGCAAGCTGGCCCTGATCTCACAGAGATCCAACTGCCTCTGCCTCCTGAGTGTTGGGATTAAAGGCGTGTACTACTGCACCAGGCCAATTTAAGTCTCAAAGTCAGCCCTCTATTTAATTACATAATGCTGTTCTGAAATTTTCTAGGAATGAGTTGTAAAGACACATATGACTCATTAAAGGAGCCTCATACATGTAGTCAGTTTGCCACAGAAGTTAGAGGTGGGAATAAAGATGTTGCTCATACACACTCTTGGAATGACAATAGATATAAACCACGTCTGAAACTCTATTAATTCCAAGACACGCCCTTACCTTGGGTGTGAGTAGAACAGCTTAATAGGGAAGCAGAGTTCCTTAACACAACTTAACAGTGATGGCAAGTTCTGTATCTGTCTGATATGGTAGCCGCTAGCCACATACGCAGCTCAAGTTGTAATTTAAATAGTACTTGCATTGCATCGTTTTCAGCATACTGGACAACATAGACCTAAAACACCCATTTTTAAGCTTTCTTACGAAAGAACCTGAGCCAAATGTGAGGGTGCACGCTTATAATTCCAGCACCCAGGAGGAGAGGCAGCAAGACTGTAGAGTCTGAGAGCAGGCTAGGCTAAGGAGAGTTTCAGGCAAACCTGAGCAACACACTAAACCTGTCTCAAAGAAAGAAAAGAAAATGAACAAACAAAAATCGCAGAGCCGCCGCCCAAATTTCTGAAATGTCCACATGGATTTAGTTTTCTGCAGACTGTTGGATGGTGTCTAAATTCTGCGCCTCTGGACTCTGCAGCAAGCACTTCAGAAGTCGGTGGTCAAGAACAGCAAGCTCCTCACGGAGCTCCAATGCAGACCAGACGAGGATGCTGAGACCCTCTCGGCAATGTGCTGTGCAGCAGCATTTTCCTTATGCCAGGTCCCCAGAAACATGAAAAAACCAATTTTGTTATTTAACTTATAAGATATCTTTAGAGTTGGCTTTATTTTTAGTTGAAAGTCTTAATTCTAATTTTGTTGAATTACACTGTAGAATCTATGGTCACATTTAGCAGAGAATGTTAATAAATGAAGGTGTTTTTGCAAGCCTGGAAACAGAACAGAGAAAAGAACTTGAAGAAAATCCTGTGCTACAGTTTGGCTCTGGACGGGCCTAAAGGCGGTACACTGACAGTTTGGTTTCCAGCCCCAGGAGGTAGGGGAAGCTTTGAGAAGTGAGGCCTGGTGGGAGGTCAGGTAAGTCACTGAGCCATGCCCCTCATGGAGACACCAAGACGCTCCCCTTCCTCTCTAGCTGTTTCCTTGCTGCCCTAAGATGAGCAGCTGCTCTACCACATGCTCACACCGTGAGGTGCTGCCTTACCCCAGGCCCCAGAGCAACAGGACTATGAACCACAGTTGGAGACTATGAGTCAGAATACAGCATCTTTTTAAGTTGATTATTTCAGGTAACAGAAAGCTGACAAGAGGTGAGGTGTGAAAACCTCCTTCCATGAGGAGAGCCGTACAGAGCAAACACAAGTCCACAGGGAAGGAAGGAAGGCAAGGCCTGTTGAAATCCAGCCCCAGGGTACTAGGTACCAGCTGCCAGTCATGGCAAGCAGTCTGCAACACTACAATAGTCAGTAACTCAGTTATTAAAAGCTCTCAGTGATGGGGGCTGGAGAGATGGCTCAGCAGTTAAGAACACCGGTTGTTCTTGCAGAAGACCCGGATTCGAATCCCAACACCTACATGGCAGCTAATAACTGTCCATAACTCCAGTTCCAGGGGATCTGACAGCCTCTTCTGACCTCCACGGGCATTGCATGACATGGGTGCACTTACCTACATGCAGGCAATACACGCATACACATAAAATAAAAATAATAAATAAATTTTTAAAAAGTTAAAAAAAAAAACCTCTCAGTGAATTACGTAAAGGCACAACATTAGAGCAAATAACTTGAACGTACTTGATTTGAAGACATGTTCTCAGCTTTCATTAGTGAAGAATAGCTCCTGGAAGGAAACAAAACATTCGACATGAGGTTATCCAGTCAATGTTCCGTCAATGTTCACCACCCTGGCTGAAGGCTCACTAGCCCACGATTCCCATGCTGATGAATTAAACACACAAATGTACCTTTCTGCGGTCCGCATTTCCTCTGCGCTCTCTCCTGTTAAACTGACGGCCCCTACTATCTTTTTAGATGTCTCAAAGGAATTTTCAGAATTTTAGCTTATATCCAATTCAAAGCCTATTTCCCTTCCAAATCAAAATGGTTTCCCTTCACTGTTGTCCAGCAAAGAGAATGCCATTCCTGTTCATTCTACTTCAAGCCAGAGCATTAAGTGTTCTTAGCTTGTCTCCTCAGTGTAAGCCACCATTAAAGCAAATCCTATCATTTTACCTGTGAATTTGCCTCTTATTCATATTCTTCTCGCAACCTCCAAGTCACCACAAGTCCAAGCTACATCTCTAGTGGCGTGACAGGTACCAATCACTTAACTGGTCTATCCACAGCCCCTCTGGCCCTCTTTATAATTAAATTGGCAAAATGACCTCACTAAAACACAGGCCTCAAGCAAGACCCATGCCTATAATCCCAACCCTTGGGAAGCTGAGGCAGGACGACCGCTACAAGTTTGAGGCCAGCCTGGGCTACACCTGAATTCTAGGTCAGTTTGGGCTAGAGTGAGATGCTATCTCTTATTTCTTACTCCCTTACTCAAAAGCCTCAACATCTACACTTGAAATTTTGTTTTAATTGTGTGTTTGTGCAAGCATTGTGTGTGTGTGTGTGTGTGTGTGTGTGCAGCACATGTGGAAATCAGAGGACAATTTCCTGGAGTTGGTCCTCTTCTTCCACTGTGTGTTCTGAGGGTGGAACTCAGGTCATCAGGCTTGTGCTTATTTTAAGTGTTTTACCTGTGGAGCCACTGTGTCGGCCCTACTTACAATTTTCTGATGACACCGCAATGCTTGTAGGATGAAGACAAACAAGGACAAAAGCTACTTCATGGACTGGCTCCATCTTCCTGCAGCCTCTCACTCCTGCTAGTCCAGACATTTGGGACTTTGGTCCCGTTTTGCCTTGCTGCTTTCCAAGTACAGTTTTTACATGTATAACAGGATGGCTGCCTAGTTAACCCCTTGGTTAACTGTTCTGATGTCACCTTCTGCCATTACTTTATCAGGGAAGCTAACTTCAGTTACTCATTCATGATACAGTGACTAATGACTTACTCTACATGCAAAATACTCTCATGTAAAGGGGTCACAAGGACCTCTTTGTAGGAGCTTACAATTAAGAGTCATAATACACAGAGCATCACTGAGAGAAGTCGATAGCAGGTCAGCTGTGGGTCACCGGTCTGTTATCACAGGTATTTGGAAACTGAGGCAGGAGGATCATGAGTTTAAAGCTAGCCTGGGTAACCTGGTGAGCCTGTGTCTCAAAACAAAACTTTTTTAAAGGGCTAGGGATGTAGCTCGGTCACTGGTAGAGTGCTGCCCTCGCATAAAGTCCTGGCCTCAATCCCCAGTACTGTTAAAAAATAAAAAAGCAAAAAGCAATGTGTGTGAGATAAACAAAAGGAGGTCAAGCAAAGCAGTCTGTTCTAAAGAAATCAAGTCATCCTTGAGTCAACGGCCCGCTCCGATCTCTTCTACATGCTGCTACTGAAGTCACCCTACAGCCTACTTCCCCTCTATCTACACCCCTGAAACCTGCAGAGCCTCCCTATGAACTACGTAAATCCTCAGTCTTGCCACGTACCTACTTCATGTTTTTCTTGCTCAGGTAAGATCCTGACTCTGGCCTTGCTTCAGAGGTAACACAGCACAGACGTATTCAGAATTACCACTGAGCTTGCTTTCTTCTTCTTTGCCAACTACTGGACGGGGCCAGTCACATGTCATGCTCCTCGCTGAAGAAATCTCTGCCTTGGATATCACGCTTATATCACCTACTTAAACTGATGACACAGTCACCTGTGACTCCCTGCTCACCTAGATCCTGTACTCCTTCTGCCTTAATCATCAGAGCCTCAAGACCCAACTCTGATCTCCCAGACTCCCCAGATTTAAATGCCTGGACTTCAGGCACAGGCCCCATCCTTTGCCATGACCAGCTCAATCTCTGACATCACCTTCCCAACTACATTTTCCTGGTGACTGCTTTTTGCTTTTGGTCCCCATCTACATGGTGGGTTTGACTTTCATGTTAATAAATGTTTGGTATGATAATACAAAAAGCTAAGTAAGAAAAGACAATATTAAAATAAAGCAAGTGGCCCAGAATATGATCTATTGGTTGGAAGATTCAAGACAAAAATTAAAGTGACAAATGTATTAAAATAGATTTTTTTTTTTTTAAAGCCTGGGTTTAGTTTGGGGCCAATTTGGGCTGTAGAGTAAGGCCTTGTCTCAAAACTAAACAAACAAGCAAATAAAATGTCAAAAGCAGGCTGGGCACCTTTAATCCCAGCACATGGGAGGCAGAGGCAGAGGCAGACAGAGCTCTATGAGATCAAGGTCAGCCTGGTTTACAACTCAAGTTCCAGGCCATCTGGGGCTACAGGGAGGTCCCCGCCCCCAACCCCCAACCCAAAAAAGTCAAAAGTTAGAGCCTGTTGCTGGAATTCCATATAAATGCAGCACTGGAAGAAATCCCTGACGGGCTATGGCAAGATTATGGCACCGCAGTCCTGCCTCAACATCTACCTTCTGCAGCAAGGGATGGAACGCTGTTTGCTTGATACGTGATTGACAGAAATAAACATACTGGAACTCATGATGACTATTATAAACTACATATAACTAGTGACTGAGGGAAAATGGGAAGGAATCCATGACCTGGAGCAGATTTCACACTATAAGATGGAAAATTTTCCCTTCGGGTCCCACGAATATTTTGAACGTTGATACTTTGAAAACAAGCCTAGAAGATAGGAAATTTGTTTTCTTTAATGGGTTTTGTTTAAATCCTTACAACTTTTGAAACCAATAAAGCCATACCGACACCCTCAAATTTTAGTAGCATATAGCTTTACGCAAACCAAAAAATGTATCTTCAAGACTGTAGCATTTAAAAAATATTTTATTTATTTTTATTATTTTATGTGTATGAGTGTATTGCCTGAATGCTGTAAGTGCATCCATGTTGTGCAATGCCCAGGGAGGTCAGAAAAGGGCGTTGGACACCATGGAACTGGAGTTATGGATGTTAGCCACCATGTGGGTGCTGGGATTTGAACCCAGGTCCTCTGCAAGAGCACCCAGTGCCCTTAACTGCTGAGCCATCTTTCCTGTCCCTACCTGTAGCATTTCTACAGCACCTGATTTATAATGAATAAATACTGTGTAAAACTGGACTGAGTAGAGGGCAGCAGAGTACAGTAGGATTTGTAGATTTAAAAATAAGATGAAGACACTTAGCTGTGTGGCTTTCAGCAAGATGTTGAATTGCTTCTCAGACTTACTTTCCTTTTTACGAAATGCAGGTGACAGAAATAGCATGAGAAATGCAAGAGTCACTTTAAGTACCATGTATGACAGATGGTAAAGCTTGAAAATGTCAGCTCTTCTTCCTCATAAAGGTATAAATTAAGCAATATTATGTTTCTAACATAGAACATCCCTATCTCTACACAAAATTATGTTAGAGTGGCAAAAGAAAGAAGGCCTGTTTTCAATTTTCCCCTACTCCAGACTACAAATAAAAAATGCTTAACTACTGTAAGTCCTGCCTTGCTCAGAGCTGACAGATTTAACTCAGTGATCGTCTTTTACTTACAATACAAAGCAGAGTCACATTTGGAGGCCACACCATACATCTAAGCCTGTGCATCAGTGTCTCATGCCTACAGATTATAACCTGGGGTAACAGCTTGAGAGTGTTCCATTTGAATATGCTATTTTGAAAGAAGCCAGTCTTCCTGTTTTAGTGGACTCACAACAGGAACACAAGCAGGTTACTAATGAATAGACAATACTACACGATCATCATAGCTACCTTCTGACCCAGCAAATTTTCTAAGCGTCTGATCCAAGGAAGTGGGGTCAGGACACAGCGAAATAGCTGGCTTCTGTGTACCATTCCCAAGTACGTGCCAGTCACACCTCCCTTGCCCTTGTTGGCATACATATCTCAAATGGCACCTATGGACAGTCTAGGAGCTCTAGGACCACAAGTTATGAGAAAAAGTCCCACTAAGGAAAACAGGAATGGCCTGGAGACAGACCTCTGAGATGGAGCATCTGTCTAGTCCACGACCTGGGTGCACTCACTTGTATGCCGTATATAAACACACATGCAGTATACTTACACACATGCAGTGCACTTACACACATGCAGGCAATACACTCATATACATAAAATAATAATAAAATTAAAGGGACTGCCTGTCAAACTATCTGAATAAATGGCCAGTGGAGTCCAAAACCCACACTATGATGGATAACACGAGGCCCTGGGTTTGATCCCAGCACTATAAGAAAAACAAGGGGGTACTATGTGTGGTGGTACATGTCCATATTCCAGCACTCGGGAGGCAGATGCAGGATGTTCACCTGCTTAGGCTATATAGTGAGATCATATCTCAAAAAAGTCTAAGAGCCCTGGCTGTTCTTGCAGAGGACCCGGGTTCAATTCCCAGTACCCACGTGGTGGCTAACTCTAGTTCCAGGGGATCTGATGCCTTCTTCTGACCTCCACAGGCATTGCATGACACAGGTGCACTTACATACATGTAGGCAATACACTCATACACATAAAATAAAAATAAATAAAAATATGAAAAAAAGCCAACAACACACAGACCAAAACAAACAAACAAACATCAAGGGTTGAGAACGCCTTCCAGGAGAGCATGGCATATTCACAGGGCTCCTGTGTGGGAGGTACGATGATGCTCCCCAAGCACCCCTCCCCCAGAATGCCCACAACCTAATCTATAGAATCAATAAATGTTACCTCGAATGGCAACAAAATTTTGTGGATGTGACTAAGTTCTTTATGATAGGGAGCTCACTGGGAATGATGTGGCCGTGTCCAATTTAGTCACATGGCTCCTTAAAAGCAGAGGAGGCAGTAGTCAGGGAGCAGTGACTGTGAAGATGAAGGAAGGGTCACAAGCCACAGAACGTGCCAGCCTCTAGAAGCCAAAGGACAGTCTCCTCTAGAACCTGCGAAAAGGAACTGCCCTGTCGACACCTTGAGTTTCCCTAGAGCAGTCAGAACCTCTTGGAGGTCTGTGGGCTACGTGTTGTTATAAAGCAACTTAAGACGATTTGTTACAAAGCAGCAAGGACAGAATATTCAAGGCCTTCTTCACTAAGAGTTTAGGAGCCAAGCTATATTTAACTGTTGTTCAAAACTGTGGACACTGAAGCTGGCCTTACCACTGTAGTTGTTTCAAACTTCCAAAAGGCAGAAAAAGTAAAAGAGCTGTCAGGGGGCTAGAGAGACAACTCGGCAGTTAGGTGCACTGGCTGTTCTTGCAGAAGAACCAGGCTCAAATCCCAGCACCCACATGGCAGCTAACAACTCCAGGCAATCAGGCAGTCTCTTCTGTCCTTTGCGGGCATTGCACAACACGGGTGCACTTACCTGCATGCAGGCAATACACGAATACACATAAGATAAAAGTAATAAAATATTTAAAAACAAAACAACAAACATCTCTCAGTGTTGCTCAGCTTTAAATAGCTTGGTTCACTGGAGTCAAAATGTCTGTGTTCGCATGGCATAGTTAGTCAATATTAAATACTAGTCATGGTAGCTTTTCCTGTCAGAAGAACTTTACAAACCAAATTCTGAGGAGAGCCCAAGATAGTTTACGGTGCAGTCAAACTAGCTATTTCTGCTATTTCTCACTCACACAATCCACACTCTCCAAAAGGGCGACTCAGCACATCAACATTAACATCTTTAAAAACAATCCATCGAGGGCCCCAGTTTCCGTATTCTCCTCCAGGCACCACTGTGTCATCCTCACGGCAAAGTCCATGACGGGAACCAGTGGGGAGACTCTAACGACATCACTCCAGCCTCCCCGTACCTGAGCTCATCCAGTTCCCGTTTCTTCTTCATTTCTTCTTTTTCTCTCCTTTTCATTTCCTGAATTTGGGCTTTCTTCTCATTCCTTTCTTCACGGTCTCGGCCCTCCTTCTCCGCTGCTAGGTCTGGGAACCGCTCCAACTTGGTCTTTTCTAATCGGTTCAAGATTTCGTTCACTTTCTTCTCTACTGTCACAATTTTCACCTTTGAGGGAGGTTCAGGAAAAAGTGCTTAGGCTTAATTGTTTTCCTCCCAGAAGAGGAGCCAGGCTTTCCAGGGCTTCAGCAGCCCAGTGGAGCCCTCAGGAATCGAGTCATGCTCAGCGGGGGTCAGGCTCCCTCTCCTGTGGTTCACACACTTACTTCCTTCTGCCGGTGAAAGCCAATCTGCCCAACATCCATGTCAGCTGTTTTCTTCAGGTTAGACCACGGTGTATAGACCACATTAACATTGTTCATCTTGCAGCCTGCCAGGAGAGACCATCTTCAACACACACAGGCCAGAGGAGACTTACACACCCCCTTCACCACCCACAGTGAACCATCTCCAACCCCAGAAAAAGCTTGGGAGGAATAAGCCTCCAAGGTCTCGAAGGACCAAAGACAAATGGGAAAACTGATCTCAAACCAAACGAAAACCCAAGTATTACAATGGAAAGTGAGGGCCCACGATTAGTCTCAGCAACCTCCGAGAGCTCCCTAAGATTGAATGTAAAACTCACCATGTGCATGGTTCCAGAGAAAAGGACCAAATAAGTTCCCTTAGCCTCTTGAGGAGATGTTTGAGTAGGTAACAGCTAAGCTATAATATAGTCACAGTCTGGGACACCAGAGACCCAGGCTCACCCTGGCAATTTCACAGAGCGGCTGATCTGAGAAGCACTCACTGCTCTGCATCTCAACTGACACGGAAGGAAACTCACTAGTTCAGGAAGGATTTTGTGTGGTTTAGCAGTGGAACTCTTTTTTACTAAAGATACAGAAGTCATCAAAACTGAAATTTGATGAAGGTTATGTCAGGTACCCCGCTCTCTCCCCTTTATCCTCTCTCCTGCATCTCCAACACACATTGGCCTTCACCTAACAGCCTCTGGGGCAGTGAGAATCACAGAAAATCCCTGGTCTGATGCTCTATACTGTCAATACTGTCATCAGTTGGCCAAACTTCAGTATTCAAATCACCCCCAACATACACATAGGAAAACTTTGGCGTTCAAATCCCCACCTCCCCACAGAAAGTTGGTGAACACTACCTTACAGAGTAGACAAAGTTAACATCTCTCTTAATGGAGCAATATCATCATGAGAAGCCTGACTGGACAATGTAAAACTTCACTTCTGCAGTATTCTGCTCAAAAATCAGTCTATGATACCCATTAAGAGGAGGCCCCATCAAGAGGAAGTTGAATCAAGAGGAGGCCTCAGGCGAAGCTAAACCATGGGCACTACTATTAGTCTCTGTTCGTTAACAGTAAAGATCTTCACAGACAAAGCAGCATATCCAGTTTGAAGGAGATCAAAGAGTTGTCGTAAGTAAATACATCGCATGATCTCAGGTCAGGAAATAGCAGTTATAAGGAACAACGCTGTAACAACTGGTAAAACTTAATATGGATTGTGTATCAGATGACAGTAGCCTAGCCATGCTAAACTTCCTGAATTTGTTGACTGTAATTCAGTTGCTTATGACAGCTTGCTCTTAGGAGATATATGTTGAAGGGTCATAATCGCTGTAATTCTCTTTCAGATGGTTCAGCTAAAAAAGTTAATAAGTTTGCTATATACAGAAAATAGATTAATAAGAAAAACTCAAAACTTGGTGAACCTAAGTGAAGAATAAATAGAACCTGCATTTTGCCTGCAACTTTTCTGTAGGTTTGAAAAGTTCTTCTTCTTTCTTTTAAAATATATATTATTTTTATTCTTTGTGTATGAATGTACTGGCTGCATGTATGTAAATGTACCCATGTTATGGAATGCCGGAGGAGGTCCGAAGAGGGCATCGGATTTCCCCTGGAACTGAAGTTACAGATAGTTGCTAGCTGCCATGTGGGTGCCGGGAATCGAACCTGGATCCTCAGCAAGAGCAGCCAGTGCTCTTAACCACTGAGCCATCTCTCCAGCCCCTGAAAAGTTCTTAAGTTTTTGTCTGCTTGTTTTGTTTTAGGAAAACTCTCGAAGTACAAGGCACTGTGGGGATGCACACATGGATCAGGCATGGGCTCTGCCTTTCAAGATTCTGAAGAAGTACACAGAAAACTTCAGTAAAAGGAGAAGGTGTCAAAGGCTGTTAGAAAGGTGTAGGCAAGGTGCCAAGGTAGTTCAGTCAAGACGGGCCTCTGAGAGCTGGAGAAGGGGAGTCACAGGACTCCCTAAGCTTTTAGAAAGCTCAATCTAGCAAGATTCCTTAGGTGATCAAGAATAGACTGATACTGCAAAAACAAAAAGCTTAATCCCCATTCCCCGGACTGAGCAAGGAGGAAAACTTTGCAGCTACACAGTGTTGCATGTAGAGTGTCCTCTGCAATCTCACCACGTTCTTCATTCTTCAGCAGCCTCTGCTGCTACTGACTCCTAAGAGTGAGACCTGGGACTTAGCTCCTGATCCTGCTAGGTGAGAGATCCCTGTGGAAGGCTGAGGAAGAGAGAGGAGTGTCATGACTCCTTCCTCCTCTCCTGTTTCCTCTAGAACTGGAAAACTGCAAGGGCATTAAGAAGAAAGACACTGAGCCAAGAATAAAGAGTCTAAAGTCTTTGAGCAAAGGCACATCTGTTAGCCAGGGGCATGGGAAAGAAGGCTGCGTGACAGAGGCTGTAACATGGAGGAAACTATGTTTGTCTCAATTTTTACTTCAATAACTGAAGATCTAAGACATTTTACTCGAGTCATAAAACAGAATGCCCCACTGATAACAGTCTGCTGATTTATGGAGTTGAAAACTGCTGGTACTATAAGGCAAAATCTCGACCTTCTTCGTCTTTGTACCAGATTTGTTATTAAGGCCGCCTGAGTTAAGATGGAAGAAATCAGTCTAAATGATAGGGAGAGGACCACTGCTAAGCTCTTATCCTGGAACCAAGGAACCCTGGTCCCTGTTAGCAGCTGTGTCTTGCCCTATGTTTACTTTCTACCTAAAGTGGTTCTTTCCAACCCTCTGAATCATCTTTCAACCGCCCATCCAGCCAGTTATCTCTACTGTACCTAGGTCTATGTTCTGCCCCTAAAAATCCCATCTATCAGCTCAACTACTTAGACTCACACCTCCCAACTCCCTTCATAACTCCCACTCCCATCCCAAAATCGTCCTTCCAGTCTTTACTGTTAGATTAAATCTAATTGTGAATAAATAGGCACCAAATCCAGCACTCCAGAAACTTCCTACATGCAGGCCAACTGTTCTTACCCCATGCTGCATGCTGGAATTACCAGGAGAGCTGAGAAATAACAACACCCAAGGATCATCCAGAAAAGCCAAGTAAGGTTCTCTGGCGAAGAGGGATAACAAATCAAATAACACCACACCTTCACAACTTAAAAGGAAGAAAAACAGGAAGGGGAGGAGAGAGAGAAAAAGAAAAGCCTGATTTAAAGACTCTAGCTCTAGGCCTGGTGTAGCTGTACACACCTGGAATTCCTGCAGTCTGGAGGCTGCAGGAGGAGAATTATGAGTTTGAGAACAACCTGGGCTATACAGTGAGTTCCAAGTAGCATGGGCCATACAGTGAGGCTCTGCTTAAAAAAACTAAAACCCAACCAACCAAACAAAATCTCTCGTCATCCATCTGATGATAAATGATGGCAAGAGATCCCAACATCAATAACAAAGCCACGAGACATATCCTCCTGCTAGCTAGCAACACTGCCATAGTTCCAAGTCTTTTTAAAAGTATGTTAACGGTAGGCAGAGCTAGACAACTTTCTATTCAAAGAACAGAAAATAGAGTAAAAAGAGCTGAGACTCAGGACAGAGAAACTTAGAAATGGGAGATGAGTTTGGAGTATTTTGACGAACAGAATTCCAGCAACCTACTATAAGGAGACCTTCTGTGACTCCTATGACACAAGCCAAAGTCAACAGCACGTTCTGGAGAATGTAATCATTTCAGACAGAAAAGCCTGCTAATTTAGAGAGCAACTCTCAGAAAATGGACCTTGGATGCTATTGGCTTTCACCAGGTGGGCACAGTCCATCAGCACCTCCTTTGGGATGTCTTCTATCTTCTCTCCCTGCAACACAAAACAAATCAAATAGTCACTATTGATGGTCACTGGAGCACTCCAAGGGCATCCGCTGTTTTACCTGCTGGACATGAGTTTATTACAAGCAGGTGCTCTTCAGTTGTATTAGAGAACATTGAAAAATGAGTAAATGTACTGTGTCCACCACAGGAACGTTACTTAAACTAAGAGAAGGCATTAATATGGAAAACTAAACTTAATAAAGTTTATAATCATGTGGTAAATACAAACTGCAATTCACTATTACGCTAAGAAAGTCCCAGACAACTATGACTGCTGTATGGATGCCTAGTAAGAGTACTGCTGACTATTTTGATCATTGAGGTTTGGGCTAAGTCAACAAAACAAAAACTCAATGAAGGCATATAGTGCTTAGTATCTCAGATATTTTTATTGCTCCTAAAAGTCTTAAGGTATGCTAGCTCTTAGTCTTACAGCGACCCAGTAAGGGAGGTGGCTGGTCCCTTCCACAAGGAGGAAGCAGGCAGTCCAGTGATGTACTGCAGCACCAGGGTTCAAATCCAGCAGTCTGGCTCTGACTGCGTTGAACTGCTTCATGTTGCTGATGACCAAACGCAAGCAGCTAATGTGGTTCACTGCATGAAACAACTAGGAAGAAGTCCCACACAGAAGCATACACCTTCAAACTGAGTGTACTGTGAACTGCCCAAAGAAACTGAAACTGATCTCTCTTCAAACAAGTTCTAATTGTGGTAATGGGAAGTCAGGATGGCCACCATACGTACACTGACAAAGCAGAACCTAAAGGAAAAGAACTTGAACCAAAAGGAATCTTGGCAACACCATTCTCTATACTACTTAGAACCAAACTGCAAAAAGGTGCCTAGGAGAGTGCAGAAGTTAGCTCAGTGTGGAGCTCACAATCCTCCTCCTTTCCATCACAATACATTGCCCAAAAACAGCATGACTACAAGATGGGACACAGCTCTACCTTGGTAATACACCTGGAAGATCACAGCCAGAATGAAGCAGCAGTACGTATTTATTAAAAGTTTTCAGTAGGATACAGAACCCAAATGGTTTTAGAAAATCTATAGATAACAAATAGCATTATAAATCACAATACTTTGAAACCACTCTGGAAAAAATAAAAAAGAGTTACCAAAATACGTCGTTTCTGACTCAGTGACTTCATGACTAAACCAAGAACCACACTAAGAGAGCCATCCAAAGACAGTGTAGCAGCACATGCCTATTGTCCCACTAATCAGGAAGCTGAAGCAGGAGGGTCTTTGGAGCCCAAGAGCTCCAGATCGGCATGGCCAACACAGTGAGACCTTCTCTCCAACAACGAAAGAAACAAAAAAGGTATTTCTTGTTCAGGATTCACAATACTGAAAAGTTACAAGCAACCCATATTCTGACAAAGTGGCTCTCACATCAACTTCACTATTATCATCAGCTCACTGCAGCCAGTCAAAATGGTAAACACGAAAGCCATGCAGTAATATAAACAAGTTTACAAACTGACTTTAAACAGTAACGCAACCAACCTCAGCGTAACAGGATGGGTACAAACTGAGATTAGCAAATGCAGCCACATACGAGCACAGGCCGACACACCACTGCAAAAGTTGGGGCAGGAAAAGCTGCTTAAATGTAACTTTAGAAAACAATGTTTTCATTGGAGACCACAGGCAAAAGACCAAAATAACCGCATCACTGTCCCCTAGATCCCTACTTCTTAGAATGGGAGTTGCCATCTCACACGGGGTCATGTAACTGCATGTGGAGCAACAGCAACAGCAAAGGTTTCTGAAACTACAATGATCAAAAATTAATCCATATAACTCATCAAATGCATAGCAGATCTTAGGTGCTTCTGGCAGCACTGGCCCATGTTCCACTGAATGACTTCACTGCAGTCTTGGTTCCCAACACATAACACCCACTTTACACTGTGTATGTCATGCAAAAAACACTACCTGAAACACCTTGGCTCAGGTTTGAAGCTCCTGTATGTTATAAACTACAGTAAAAACCGCGCCAAACTGAAAGGGCTAAAAGAGCTCTGACCAAAGCTGGACTAACAAGAGCAACAGAACACAGAACACAGCCCAAAGCATAGAACTAACACTAGCCCTCAGGGCAAGGAAGTGGGGGAAAGAGACACATCTTCCTCTGAATGAACAGCAGATAATACATGTAGATCATCCTTACTCCAAAGAGTAGTTCGTAGCTCTATTCCTGGCTCCCTTGAGTAGGAGCTGGACCCAGTGCCATTATTTTTGAAAACCAGGTCTGGAATGGGGTGTCAAAGTGGAGACCCCAGCGGGTACTACACCTCAGGCAATCCAGCTTCACACCATCTGCAGTGAGTCGAGTTAATATGTATATCCTCTGACATGATGGGATGCGAAGCCATGTCCCCTCTCTGGTATTCTTCCCCTCAAACCCATAACCGCTGTCGGTCTAGTCATGAGAAAAAGGTAAGTCAGATCCAAAAGGAGTGACAGAAAACACCAGGGACACTGTTATAAAGAGCAGGCAGCTGTGACAAGTGAATGTGGTGTGGTACCTTACTGTTAGGAGTCCAGGTCTGCAGACAACCCCCAGTGCAATAAAGCCTCACAAGACAGGTCATGAGGGCCCCCTTGCAAAACAGGAATTGGCCAGGCAGCTGCATTTAGAGCTGTCTTAGCACAAAGCTGTTCCCAGATAATTTTCGAAGATAAACAGGCCCCGCACCCAGACCCACTGATGTAAGAGCTGTCTCAGTTCAAGCTGCTTCCCCTGAAACCAGAAAGATTCTTTTTGCCCCCTTCCACATTCCCCAACCCCCGCCCCCCCATAAGAACTTCCTCAGCAGTCAGCAGGTAGCTGGTGGCTTTCTCTCCCCAGCTGAGCTGTCAGTCACCAGCGATCCTAAGAAATAAACTTTGCAAATGCTTTTTCTAATTATATGGCTATTAAATAATTTAAAAAAAAGAATCCAAAAAAGAAAATTAAACATTGATTAAAAAAAAACAAAAAGAAAGAAAGAAACTTTGCTTTGCCTGAGTCCTCCTATGTTTTCTGTGGCAATTCCCTGCCCGGCTTTTATCTAACACTTACAATGGCTCCTGGAAGAGAGAAAAAGTTAATGCTCTTTTCCATTAATATGGAAAAATTGAGGAAGCTTAAAGTCCAGAGTTTACTTAATTGCAATAAGCCAAGGTTGGTTTTATTGGTTTTGACAACTCTACCACTGTAATGTGAGAGGCCAACAACGGGAAACTATATGTAGTATCTTTTCAATGTCTCTGCAAATCTAAAAATCATCCTAAAGTAAAAAGCTTATTTTTTTTTTAAAGAAGGTAATACTGCCAGGTGTGGTGGCACACGCCTTTAATCCCAGCACTGGGAGGCAGAGGCAGGTAGATCTCTGTGAGTTCAAGGCCAGCCTGGTCTACATAGTAAGTTCCAGGCCAGCTGGGGTTATGGGACAACCCTGTCACAATAAAAAAGAAAAGAAGGTAATACAAATAAGCATATATACCCTGTGTTTAACTACATAAAATACATTAATAAAGACAGACTAGGAAAATATCAGAGCTAGAGAGATGACTCAGTGGTTAAGAGCACTGGCTGCTCTTCCAGAAAGTGGGGTGAGGGTTGGGGAGTTTAGTTCCCAGCCCCACATGGTGGCCAATAAGTGTCCAAAACTCCAGTCCCAGGGGATCTGACTCTCCTTTCTGGCCTCTGCAGGCATTGCATGACACACGTGCACTTACATGCACGCAGGCAAAACACTCATACACTAAAAACTTAAAAGAGGGATACTATGTTACTAGGGAACAATAAATCTTTTCTTTCTTATTATCATGTTGTTTAGACCACCCAAAGAAGCCCCTGGTAAGTGGGAACATCAGCCCTCAGTGAGCAGGTGGAGGTGTGAGCCCGAGAAAAAGGAGCCACCAGAGTGTGCTAACACCAACCGAACTGAAAGGGAAAGAGAAGAGATGGCATCCTGAAACGGCAAGCTGGGGCAGTGCTTCCACCTGGGAAGAAGCCGGGGCAGTGCTTCCACCTGGGAAGAAGCCGGGGCAGTGCTTCCACCTGGGAAGAAGCCGGGGCAGTGCTTCTATCTGGGAAGAAGCCGGGGCAGTGTTTCTACCTGGGAAGAAGCCGGGGCAGTGCTTCTATCTGGGAAGAAGCCGGGGCAGTGCTTCCACCTGGGAAGAAGCCGGGGCAGTGCTTCTATCTGGGAAGAAGCCGGGGCAGTGTTTCTACCTGGGAAGAAGCCGGGGCAGTGCTTCTATCTGGGAAGAAGCCGGGGCAGTGCTTCCACCTGGGAAGAGGAAGCCGGAGCAGTGCCTCTATCTAAGGGGAAGCCGGGGCAGTGTTTCCACCTGGGAAGAAGCCGGGGCAGTGCTTCTATCTGGGAAGAAGCCGGGGCAGTGCTTCCACCTGGGAAGAAGCCGGGGCAGTGTTTCTACCTGGGAAGCAGGCACTACTGCTCATCTAAGTCTTAGAAATCATCCAAAATTCTTTATAATGATATTCTGGGTAAGAGGAAAACATCTCCAAATTTACTAACCTTTAGGCTTTTGGACATATTTATCATTTGAGCAATGCAATTTCAGTAAAAGAAGAATATATGATGCTCACCACTAAAGAAAAGTCACGTATCCATGTTTAAATTCAGTTACCTTATGCAATCGAAGGTATACATGAGCAGAAGAGAGTTTGTCCACATGAAACCTACAAAGAATGAAAACCACTTTTTAGCACGAACAGGATAACCATCTCCTTATCCACTTGCATTTAAAGCATCTCGGTCCAAGCAGTATTCCCTGGGGGCCTATCATACACTAGGCACCATCAGGAGTATAAAACACCGTTGCTCCATCCAAAGGGCTGGTCAGCAAGACAAACACTGAGAGCCAAGCAGCTGTGCAGGGCTACGTGCCAAGATGAGTAAGATAGCAAAATGTGAGTGTCCTGCGAAGGACAATGTTTCCAGTGATAAGAAGAGCTACCAGTGACCAAAGGCTTCTTGGAAGAATTGAGATTTGGCAGGGCTGGGACTAAGGCACAAGACCAAGAGGAAAAACAGACAAAAGGATTTCAAGTGAGAAAAGAAAGGAATGAAGGAAGTCTGTGGAACGCCAGTATTGCCAGCCTGGGAGAGTTGCAGGACCAGTTGGAAGAAAGGATGAGGATTTGGCTTTGGAAATTCCCCCAAGTTTCAAGCAAGGACAAAACAACCAAAATCGAGTATCAAGTTCAGATTTGGGAAGTTAGTTCACTGAGCAGGAGATGTCATTAACTGGGTCCACCTAGTAAGTCCTGCAAACGCTATATGCTGACACTGACATCAACATGAGTTCCCTGGGTGAATAACTACAAAGCAGTCCTAAAAACATCCACAATGCCCCACAGCATCTTTAACTGCCCTTTCACTAAGGATCTTATCCATCAATTTAATGAAATCTTTTAAATTGATGGGACATTATGGGATATTACATTTTTCATGCTTACAATTCACCAAATAAATGAAGTTGACTTACTTTGTAACACCCAGATTTAGGCCTAGAACTATAGCATCAAACACTGACAAGGTCACACATGACCCACCCTGTGTTCCATTAACTTCAGTCCAGATAAATAACGATCAGTAAAACCTAAAGAAGCTGTGCAAGGTGCACAGGCCTGTAATCCCAGCAGGCAGGAGTATCAAGGGTTCAAGGCCAGCCTGGGCTACTTAGTAAGACTGTCTTAAAAACAAACACACAAACCTAAGAAGGTACTATTCTTTCTCACTACCTCCATTTTGCTAGACATTTTCTTAATACTAGTGTGCATTTTAGATGTTAAAATAGTCGCCTGTTCAATACATACAAGAAAAGAGGTTAAATACTTTGCTATTTGCTCTGGACTCAGAACTGTATTAGGCCTTTCTGGCAAACAATCTATGTTGATTCTAGGTTTTACCTTTAATTATTACTGATAGCCACAAATAGACATTACATACTTGATTCGTATTTTTCCATGCTGTCCATTTACTAATTATTCACACTAATTATCACCTCTAGCTGTGCCAATTTTCTGTCCAGAAAAATCTGTATCTTTTTTTTTTTTTTTTTTTTTTACAAATCTAGAAATTATATACACCTCATTCTCCATTCAGAGTCTTGGGAAAAACATAACACTATGAACTAATCTCAACTGAAAAAGAACATCTGTGTTCTGATTTCTGTTTGCTTTGAAGTAGCTCTTTATAACAACTTTTGTACATAGCCATAGTAGTTAGATTATATTCTGACTTTTCTTCAAGGTTTCTGATGTGGAATTTTGTGAACAGAAATACCTAAATAGTTCAATAAACACTATTAAACTCATACCTAAAGTAGTCAAAGTACCAGACTCACAACAGAGAATCACAGCCAGGATATATGGAACTAACTTCAGGTTTGCAGGCACCAGGGATGCATCTACAAAGGGCAGAGTACAGTACAAGCACAGGGCTTTGAAATGCCCCTTCCTCATGCACAAACAATTCTGAGCACACTTCCTTTAAAATTTCCCCAAGTGCTCGAAGTCTAAATGATGTACAGTCCTAGCCTCTTGTCCTTGTTATGTTCCTAACCCTGCTCAAGCCCTGTATCCTTTACTAAGTACAAGCACTAGAACTTTTACTAAAAGAGCAACAATTACCTGAGGGTGCAGAGGGGCAGGGCCTCAAAAGCTGAGTTGTTTAATTCCTTAAATACTACTGTGAAATACTACTTATTAGGCAGTTTGGAGCAGCAGAGGTACGCTGTTTCTCTTTTCCTCACTTAAAAATTAATTTCTTACCTCTTTTAATCCTCAGAAAAGTCTTAGCTTCAAGGAGCCTCAGAGACTACTGGGATAAACTCAGCTATTGAAACAGGTAAACACCCCACAGCAGCATGGGGGCAAACCAGGTTAGAGCTGGGTGGAATGCAAGTGGGATCAGAGTCACTCAGCACTCCCTGGAAGATCGCCAGGCCTGACAGCACAGAAACTGGAATGGGCCTGGGGCTGTGATGAGTCCAGCTCCCATTAGTTCTCAAGTAACTTCAGAAAGTGAAAATCAACTATGTCCAGCCATAGTCATTAATCTCTATACTATTAAAGGGTGCCAAAATGGATCTCAGTGTATCGTACATACCAACGTGGCAAGTCTCAACCTTAATTGAAATTAAAAACTCAAGTCATAATTTCTAGGTATGGGTTTTAAATAAAAAATTTCTTACTGCCTATTTAATTTTAAAAAGTTCAAATGTGGTGAATTGACTTCATGGTGCATCTTAATATGTAACTTTTCTATTTAGCATGTATGCCTCAATACTGTATGTTAAAAATGTGCAGCACAGTAGGCATGGTGGCTCATGTCTGTAATTTCAGCACTTGAGAAGCTCAGGCAACAGGGCTCCTGTGCGTTCAAGGGCAATCTGGGTTACACAGTGAGTTTCAGGACAGTCTAGAGTAAAATTTTATTTCAAAAAGAGGAAAAAAAGTGCAGCAGATAACTACTTAACGGGTACAGACATTCTTATTAAAGTCTGGCATCTACAGCTAAAGACAACTAAAAATATTTCAGCCAGGGATGACAGATCCTCAAAGAGATGACAAGAAAGCAGTCACGGCAAGGCAAGGCTTGGTGGGATCATTTCTAGGAAGGTAGCAAGCTAGTCAAGCAGGAAACCGACACATGTATGGAACTCTTCTGTGCCAGCACTTATGGACACAGCAGTTCACAGAGCAGGCCAGGCCCTGTCCTGAGCTTACAGAGCCTTTGGAAGGAAGGAAGCAGCCAGCCCCTAAGGTCTCGGCAATGTGAACTCCACCTGAGGTAAGGGGCACTGAGCACTGTCTTCACTTGACGGCACACTTGAGTTCAGAAGACAGGACACTGCTAGAATAGTATGTTTTTCCTAAGCCTTTAAAAATTCCTCATGTCTTTGGAGCCTTCTGGCCTCCATGTGGACTTTGGAGAGACAGGAGAGCATGTTCACTAGAGTCATGAACTACAGTCCTTCATAACAAGGTAGGTGGGAGTCCAGGAAGAGGCCCTCGGGGGAAGCCCTGCAGATAGGCGGGGCTTCTGAGCAGAGCCACATCTGTAGAGAGTTGCAGCAACAGCCTGGGAGAGGAGCAAGACTTGAAACCAGAGGAGCGGCGCCCTAAGGAGAGAGAGAAGTGATGATTGAGAAGTAGAGCTGGGGTCTGTGAGATCCAGAGCTGGGCCAGTAATAACCAATCTAGACCTGTTCCGTTCCTCATCTGAAAAACGGACATGCTAGCAATACTTCAAGGTTGTTGAGAAATGGAATGAAGTAACAGTAGCATTTGGTATAGTACTCAGGGCTCGAAAAATGTTTACTATTACTCTTACAAACTGAGAACTAATCTCCAGGGACAAGTGGTAAGTAAGAGTGTTAGGAGCTGGGGAGAGGCCACCCCACACAACAGGTAAGGCTAGGCTACAGGAGAGAGATTAGGATGGTTAGAGTAAGTGGTGGAAGACGAAGCAGAGAGACAGCAGGAGCAGCCCACACACTCTCGAAGGGCTACCACAGGTGGAAATGAAGAGAACAGGCAGCTATCGATCCTTGAGCGCCACAAACAAAACACCAGGAGTACGTTCTAGTGTTCTAAACAAGTTTTAAGAGGTTTTTTGTTTTTTTTTTTCAATTTATTTTTATTTTTATGTTATAAATGTTTTGCCTGAATGCATGTAAGTGCACTTATGCGGGGCCAGAGAGAGTTGGATCCCAAGAACTGGAGTCACAGACAGCTGTTAATCACCATATGGCTGCTAGGAACCAAATCTGGGTCCTCTGCAAGAATAGCCAGTGCTCTTAACTACTGAGCCATCTCTCCAGCCCCACAAATTCTAGTTTTAACTGTAGGGAACTGGTGGCTAGCCAAGTCTAAGAAGTAAATGACAATCCAAATAAAGCAGAATCAAAACTGTTACTTACCAAATATCTTCAGGCCAGCCATACTTTATCAGATCTTCATCTACAGTACAATGAAAGAGAAGAAAAAAAAAGAAATTAAGAAAAACTGTGAAGTGGAAATCTGTCAGGATTAAATGTCGGGAAGGGGAAGAAATACCCCCTTCGCTTTTCACTTCCTATTGGAGTGAGAGTAAGGAAGACGCTGAAGCTCAGAAACAAAGAGTAACTTTCACAGTCAGACAATGTACACTACAGTTGTTTTTGTGTGTGAGTGTATTGTTGCAGGCATGTAAGTGCACCCCTGTAGTACAACGCCTAGAAGGTCAAAAGAGGGCATCAGATCCCCTGGAGTCAGAGTTATGGACAGTTGGTAGCTGCCATGTGGGTGCTGAAAACCAAACATGAGTCCTCCGCAAGAACAGACAGCGCTCTTAACCACTGAGCATCTCTCCAGCCCCAACTGCAAAATTTTTAACATTTGTAATCCCAAGCTCAAAGGTGTTTCCTTTGAGTGACACCGACACTGAAAAAGCAGAGCAGCTGAGAAGCTGAGTTATACTTCGCAAAACTGACACATTATAATGTTTAAATATTAAAATAACTTCACTGAAACTTTAAAATGAGTTACAGTAATTTTTTTTTTTTTTTGTCTTTTTGAGACAGGGTCTCCCTGTAGCCCCAGCTGTCCTGGAACTCACTATGTAGACCAGGCTGGCCTTGAACTCACAGAGATCCACCTGCCTCTGCCTCCCGAATGCTGGGATTAAAGGTGTACGCCACCACGCCTGGCTTATATATAGTAATTTTTAAAGAAAAAACAAGGTCTGGGATACAGTTCAGTAGGTAAAGTGATTGTCTAGCACTTTACCTTTACAAAGTCCTAGGTTTGATTCCCCAGGATCACATAAACTGAGTGTGGTGGCATACATCTGTTTAAGTGTGGTAGCACCTGGGACACCAGTAGAGAGGAAGATCAGAAGTTCAAGGTTTGGCTAGATAATGGAGGTCAAGGCAAGCCTAGAATATGTTTCAACAAACAAACAGGCAGTCAAAACTTCAAAAATTCAACTGGGTATGGTAGTATATAATTGTAATTCTAGCACTTGGGAGGTTAGCACAGGTTTGAGGACTGCTTAGGTTAAACAGCAAGTTCAAGGTCACCTAGTAAAACAGTAACAATCAGTTAGGCATGGTGGTGCATGCCTTTAGTCCTAGCACTAAAGGCAGAGGGAGGCAGATCCCTGTGACTTCAAGGCCAGCCTGGTCTACATAGAGTTCCAGGCCAGTGGGGTTACAGGGAGACTCTGTCTCAAAAAACCACCTGGATTATACACTTAAAAAAGTAATAAAAGATGCATAAAAAGAAAATAAAATTTACATCACATCTGGAAATAAAACTGTAGAAGGTGGCAAAAAAGTGAAAAGTGACTGTCTCAGGACACAGGGGATAGAATGGGGTCTTGAGAAGGATGGGGTGAGCTACTAGGGGTGGGGAACTGAGAATTCTATTGGTGGGATGGCTCAGCATTTAAGAACACTTGCTCTTCCAGAGGAACAGGGTTCAATTCCCAGCACCCACACAGCAACTAACAACCATTCATAACTCCAGTTCCAGGGGATCTGACACCCACTTCTGGCCTCTGTAGGCACTGCACAACATGGGTGTACTTACATACATATAGGCAAAACACTCATACACATAAAATAAAAATAACATTTTTTAGAAAACAATTCCATTATAAGAACTGTGTACCTGGCAGATAAAATAAAAAATTTTAACTTTTTTTGTAAGCAATAATTATACAAAGGTTGTATCAGTATAGACTTCTAAAAGCCTTGTTAATAACCTGTAGTTCATAGTTAAACACAGATTTAAGACGAAAGCTGAAAGGTACAGAAATGACTCCTATGAGATGATTTTAAATGTACCTAAGAAAGTACAGTCTACACAACATGAATAACATGTCCACGAATCTTGGGTAAGGGTACTCTTGGCAACTGCAGGCACTAGGAATTGTCTGGAAGGCTTCGTACTACTTAAGCGAGAGGCTGAACAATAGCCAAGGTGACAATAAAAAGCTAAAAGAAATATTACTAATAAAACATTTCTCTGCGTGTTATGTGGCTCTCGGGTGCCACCTGCTGGCTATGAACACAACAGACCTGACAGCTGTTGGGCAAATCCTTCCAGTCATCCTTGTGGACTTGAATTCTGCACCTAGGTGCTATCTCTATGTAGAAATTCCTACCACAGACATAGAGGATACCACAACCCAGCCCTCCTCCATGAACTTCTCAGCTTGGTGCCACAAATCACATTCACCATCTCAGACCCTCTACTTCTACAGCATGAGCCGCTAGCAATGTGCAACTTGGATTTGTCCACATTTCCAAATAGGCTTTAGTTCTCAGAGCAGTTTTGGGTTCACAACACCAACATATGCTTCTTTTTGTGAGTCCACTGAGCACAGTGAGAGTTCCACCCAAAGCTTCCTCTTCGATGTCTCACACAGGCTGCAAGGCCCTCCACCCCCCTAGTTCTGCAGTTAAAACCTGCAGCAGCCTGACTCCAAGTCCTCCTGGCTACTGAAATCTTGGGCTCCACCCCTGATGTATTAGAAAAAACAATCACATTTGATCAGTGGCTTTGCATTCCTCTCCACAGTAGACAACTGGGATTCTTGTCTGTGGCTTACTGTTCAACGCAGCACTGGCAGACAGCATCCTTTCCTCCATGGTACCAGGAGGATGTGGGGAGAATAGGAAAACACTACCAGTGACGGTTCATGGGCTACTAAGAGACACCTACACCTCAAGCGTTAATGCAAGGTAATTTATTTCACTGTTAGATCTCACGGAGTCAACGTCATAAATTCATTACAATGAAAAACTGTTTCAAATGGGAGTCTCTTCACTCCCATTTGTTTTTCATTCCTCCCTTTATAAGGATATAATAGTCTTGTTTATATCGATTCCACTTTATAGTATTCATTTTGGTCTTGTTATTTCATTACTATCAAGTGTCTCTGACTGAAGAATGGTACATGTCCCTCTTTTAATGCATCTCAACTATCAAGTTCAAACTGCTGTCAGTGCCAAACTGTACCTAGACTAGACACTGAGAGTTTTAGAAATAGAAAGGGAACTAACCAATTAACAAAAACCCAAGAAGTACCTAAAGCTTAAAGACTGAGCCACCAGTCGGCTCTCAAGACTACTGAGGCAGAGGTACCCAGCCTCAGGGACGGTATTCCCACAGGAACCAGAGTGGAGAGGCATCTGGGAGCTAAGATGCTCCAGGGAGGCCACCTGCCACTTGATGAGTGCCCACACGGGACAAGCACTTCACAGTACCTCCACCTTCACAACCCTGTGACAGCTACATCCATGAGCCGCTTATTATATTTAAAATCTGAGGTTCAGGGCTGGAGAGATGGCTCAGCAGTTAAGAGCACTGACTGTTCTTGCAGAGGACCCAGGTTCGATTCCCAGCACTCACATGGTGGCTACAAACTGTCCTTAACTCCAGTTCCA